TGGTGGCCGTGTTCAGCTTATTATAAGCATGAACCACGCGCCATCCAACTATTGCTTTCCCACACAGAAGGTCGGGCTGCAGTGAGGCGACTTTCTCTCACGTACATGTCCCGCCTTGGCTCGCTTGTCGAAGAAATCATCGATGTAATCGACTTGTTCCTTCGGCAACGGCCATTGCCTGGTCATACAATACTTGATGTCAGGCTCTAGGTCAATTTCGTGCCTGATGCCCCTATCGGCCGGTAGGCGGCTCGGCACTTCTGCTGGAGACACATCACGGTGTTCCCACAGAACATCATAGAACGGGCTATCCTTCAAGGCATCCCTGCCTTGAGCAGTGAACCGTTTCTTCTTGTCGATCTCCAAGACGCTCTCGTCCATTGTGAGCGACGAGCAACAGTCCACCACATTCTCTTCTAGAACTGGTGCGACTATCTCGTGGATCTTTCCTTCCTTTAGTTCGGACAGGAACAGATCCCAAGTCATCTCCGAGAGATTTACTATCTCCTCGGAAGATGCCAAGACAAGTTGGAGCACCTCAACTGAGGATGCCTCCGGCATTTTGTCTTCGACGGCCTCGCACAACTCGTTCGTAGGTCCGTCTTCTTGGACCTAGACTGATCCAAGGGTCACTCGTTTCGACGTGCCCTTGATCGTCTTAATACGTCTGGTGCTCGTTGTTCGAGTCACCACGACCTTTGACCTGGAAGAAGGTGTCGTTGCTATCTCAGCTAACGCACTCCTTCCAACCGCACCAAGCTCAAGACTCTGTGCCGGTTCTTGTGGCGCTTGACTTGCTGTCAGCCCACCATCAACTGCCACAGACTCTCGGCTCTGTGCAGGACTATTGGACGCATGACTACCTGTCATCGCCCCATTCACTACACCAGTCTTTTCGACCTGGGTAGGAATATGTGTCACCTGGCTTTCTGCCAGGGCACTTCCAACTAATCCACTCTTTTCGAGCTGGTTAGTTCCTGATGCCGATGGACATATTGTCATCGCACCTTCGACTGTGTTGGACACAGCATCAGCCACATAAGCCTCTCGCAAGAGCACACCCTTTCCGGTGTCTTGCGTAGAGTTAGCGACTGTGCATGTACGCCAGTCTATCCATGGTTGGTGTTTAGCCAACCAAGGCATGCCTACGATGAGGTCATACGGACTCTCCATACCTAGCACTGTGAACTTCTCTTTACAAGAGAAGTCACTGAAACTGAAGGCGAGCTCAACTTGAACTCCCTCCGCTTTAACGAGCGCGCCGTTCGCTAAACGAACAATCGCCTCTTCTCGCTTGCCATCCTGGCAAAGCGACTCATAACTCGCCGGACTCTTTTTCAGAGCCGCGATTTTCACAAAGTTTTGTGATGCACCCGAATCCACGAGAAGATTCATCACTTGGTCATAGCCTCATACTCGAGCGCTATAGACCAAAAGGGTTGAGGTTCAACCTTTCGGAACCTCAGGGACTATGCTACCCATTTGTTCGATCACTCTGAACTTAGGGGTAGCTTCAGAGTCCGCGACAGTAGGGCATCCTGCCCCTACTGCGCCTACACATTTCCCGACCCATTTTGGGCAGATGCTGAGCCCGTGCGTAGTTCACGCTGGTTTTTCGCACCTCCCTTCGGGTAGGAAGCCTTCTTGCTGGCTGCCTTAGCACCAGCATCAAGTTTGGCATCAGCGAGCCATCATAGCAGCTAGCCATCATATGGCCGCGATTGCCGCACCTATAGCAGACCACGTCTGCATTACCTAACTCTTTGGGGTAGTATCTTACCTTTCGTCCGACGGCTTATAATAAGCTCTCGCCGAGGCACTGTTGTAAGTTTGTTCCTCAACCATGGCAATTTCAATTGCTTCCTCCATCTTCTTTGGTACCTTTCTAAAAAGGGCTTGACGCGATGGGCCGTGCCGTAGCCCTTCTATGAACGTAGGCACCTTAATGTGCTCCGGTATCGGACCCACATTAATTAAAGCAGACAGTGAACGCATCTCCTGCACATACTCTTGCAATAAATCGTTTCGCCTGTCGCGCTCCAAAGAAACGCGCCTGAAGTAATACTGCATTGTTAGGCGGCTGATACATGGCACAAATCTTTGACTTAAAGATCGTCCATGATGGAAACGCATCAGCGTTTGCCATAAGTGCAGAGTAAGCCCACTCTGACGCTTTGCCACTCAGATTTGACATGGCATACGACACCATCCTAGTGTCGTCTTCGATGAGATGCGCCATACTGTATTGCTACAAGGCTAAAAGCCAGTGGACAATCGTATGTTGGGCAGTCCCATCAAACTTCGGAGGGTCCATCCGAATGGGCCTTGGATGATTAGACCGGGAAGAGAGCGTCTCAACAGTTCTGTTGAGCGCCTCGTTCCGAGCTTGCTCATGCAGAATCTCATCCTGAGTCTTATTGATGCACTCAGCAGTGGCTTGGGTTTAGCTTCGGACGCATTTCTGCGCTGTCCGACCACAAACGCCTTGAATTGCTCCAACTGAGCAACATGTTGCTCAGGAGGACAATTGAGGAGGTTGGCCAGGGCTTTTTTACCAAGTGCTCAGCCAACTCCCTATGATTTTGGAAAAGGTGAGGAAAATCACCTTAACCTAATTTGAGGTACATCCGTGTCCAAACACACACTCAAAGAGACGGTTGTGGGAAGGACTATTAGTGCTACCAAGTGTAGACGGGCGCTTCGTAATAAAGCTATCATGTACTACGCGGGCACACACCTCTAAGCAGTGCGAGGAAACGGATCAGACCGTCTTACCTCCGCGTGCGGTGATTAAAGCGATCCGCGCAACGAATTAAAAAACGAGTGCTATCGCTTGCTATTCGCAAAACCGTATGTTATCTTCTCGTGTGCAGTGAGCAGTAATTAGTAAATTTAAGACTGACTTATACTTATAGAGATAAATATATATAAATCTAAGTACTGACTGGTTAAATGTAAAGATCGGATACGCGTCTCTTTCGAAGCGTATCCCTCCGTGTGAGCTTACATTTTAAGCTCGCTAATGACGTCCGTCTGAAGCGTCACCATGACGCCTAGTCCCAAGTGGGCGTCACCCCCGTCGAATATGAATCCATCCATGGATATCACATTCACGAGGGTGGGTCACATTGATGTGCCTCACCCAAGTGGAAGGCCTAGGGTACCTCGTACCCATTTAGACCTGCCCTTAAGTATTCGATACTTAACGAACCCGTGTGACTATTAGCGCGTTACATACACGATATCTGAATTATCCAGAATGAAGCCTCACCTTATGTCCGAATTTGAGCGGGAATTGCGTATATGCTATGACGATAGGGACAAATACATCGTCGGAGTAGCTGGTGAGAGCATACACTATGCGCAACTGCGACATAACAACAGGTCACTGTCATTTGAGGGGCTTGCAACCGTGAGAGGGATGTCGGCTCCACGCTTCCATGTCGGACCGGACCCGTCACTCAGATCAGGGGCTGTGCTGTGTAAATAGCATTTACTGATGATGTCTGTTAGTATCGTCATACAGTATTGCTCAACTTGTTGGATGCCATCTGAGGTATTATGACAGAAGAAGTCATTTTTTTACTGAGCGGAAGGATTACTATTCGCACTGACCTACATTGTGACGACTTTCAAAGGAGTTGTCGATGGGATGAACTTGTTTTCGCCATCGAGGGAACAAGTTCATGTCATCGACAACTTCTTCAAGTGTCGTCGCGAACACTTGTACAAAAGACGTGCCGGTACGGGCCAATCTGATACTGAATCCCTTATTTGTTTTAAGCTCCGAAAGACATAAAGTCCAGGAGTACATCCTTGTACTCTTGCAGAATTTTTTGTAGGGTCCGACTTGAGCGTACCTATAATCTTTTCAAGCGTTCTCTCTTCTTCTTAGCATGATGGTGATGATGCTCGGATGGGCTACTATTACACAGAAAGTTAATATATGATGTAAATCTTCTGGTTGTGTGATAGCACCTCATTCATCACTTATGACGCGACTCTCCACGGCTTGTTCTGCTACTTTGGACGCCACAAGGGGGTCACTTCTCCCTGGGGGAAGCTCTCTATGTGATTTGGGGTTTCGCGCTCAGCGACCGGCTCCTCCATGCTGTCTCCACTACACCAGAAAATATACGTTATGGGGACATACTGAATGCACATTGTCATCCTATTTACTAGCTAGCTGCTGTACGCAATACCATCGTGAATGCGATGACATGGAGAAATGCGTACCAATGTGAGTTGAAATCCGAGTAATTGACGCATTTATTTTTGCATCAACAAACTATGATACGACAATGCATCCATAAACGAATTCACCAGCTGATGTTTTACAATACCAATGGGTAATTTCGTTGGTGCTTAGTGCTACGACTGCAGTGTGCTAACCGTTCGATGTCATAGCAATGGGACCACGTCTAGACGCGATTAAAGCTACCACCTGTCGTAAAACGTAGCTTTAAGAATGTTATTCGTCGGTATTAATCGAACTATCTTGTGTTATGTAAGCTTTCGCATGAATATTGTGTTTTGGGTACCAAAAAATTCTAAAAGGACCAAAATATAAACCCTGTAGCTAATGTCACGCGAATGTAGCTAGAACGAAAGGCGGAGTCCCGACTTGAAACAATAAACCTCCCGCAAAATAGGTCGTAAGAGAAAAACCTTCGACGTGGACACCTTGGACATCACCAAGCCAATCACGAAGACAGTTCACTTCAACTTGTAGTTTTTTTTAAATGACCTCGTCACCACCGGCACTTGGCAATATATTACCATTATCCCACGATGAAGTTACAACGTCTTCACTTGAAATACCCAAGAAAAAGAAAAAACCGGGACGCACTCCAAGCCTTATCTGGCAGCTCTTAACAGATGAACCGGACCCTCAACGACGCAACTCGGCATCGTGTAAACATTGCAAACATCAGGTACTATATTACAAGAAATCGGAGCAGGCCATTCGTCATTTAAAAAAGTGTCCCGGGTTTCAAGAAATGCAGCATCAATATTCATTTGTCAACCAGTTTTCCGACGTTTTACCACTCTATAACCAGAAAATCAATGCCAAAGGCCCGACTAAAAAGCGCGTCAAGACAGAACAGACTCCAGCTCAACGAGTTCAAGCTCAAGCTCAAGCTCAATTGGAGGCTCTGCAACTGCAACAGCTGCAACCTCAGCAGAATCAGCTACAAGAGCCTAATACGCCATTAACAATCACAAGTAGTGCATTGGACCAGGCAGTAGTGCAACATGCACAAGCTATGAATCAAATGGCTATGCAACAGAGCATGCCTGATAGTCTCATGGACGTAGGCATGGCTGACGCAAAGGATAAAAATGGGGGAAAAGACAGAAAGGGAAAGAACGTACCGTTGTCCAAGATTCAAATCGACATGTTTGAAGAGGCAATGGCCATGCACGCCTATGTGACGGGCATGGCTTTTGATGCTATCGAGGACTCACACTTGGCTAGAGCTATGAACATTTTGCGCCCGAATGTAAAGCTCCCGGAAAAGAAAAAACTGGAGGGAGAGCTGCTGACCCGATGCTATGAGAAAATGCACAAACAGGTGTGGGGATATCTCACAACCAGTCCTGCGCGAGTGTGTCTGAAGAGAGATGCATGGTCGAGTTTGAACTTGTATAATACGCATAATCCAGCGGAGGCGTACGTGACGTACATGGCCGTGAATAATGAAAAGAGGCTTTTTTTAGAGTCCGAGAAGGCTGCTGGAGATGAAGCGCGGTACAATTCGATTATGATTGCACAAGATATAAAGCGAATGATGCAAGCAATTGGAAGCAATATAAGTGGAGCCGTGACTGGTAGTACCGAGTATCATTCACGAGCATGGGATATGCTCAAAGCGGAGTATCCGACCAAATTTTTCTATGGCTGTATCTGTCACGCACTACATCTGGCAATTATGGATATCTTTGGCCCAGAGAAATCTGTAGAAAACGATCCTAGGCGAATTTCGCCGCAGGTACCCATGGATTTTCCGTTTCAGGACCTCGTCGAATTTAATAACAGTTGTAATAAGTTGTTGTCGTTCTTCAGTAGCTACCAGTACGCACCCAAAGACAAGGTGTTCGACTCCCAACTTCTTCACGCCATGGAAGGATTTGCGAACGCGTCGCCTACAATGTCATGGGGCACACTAGCCGCACGGTTTCGGGTGCTAATGCAGTCAGGAGACGAGCTCCAGACCATTGTGAGCGATCCCGAATTTTTGGGGTCCGGGTCACCAGCAAATCAGCGCGAAATTCGCCAAAGCATAAAGGATTTTGTTTTGAGTCTTAACTGGAAGTTGACATTGGAGAAGGCAATAACAATCCTCACGCCTGTCGAGTTAATCCTGTACAAGTTTCAAGACGACCGTGCTCCTATCTCAGAGGTTTACTTCGAGTCTAAACACTTGCTTACCGACTTCGATGCAGTCTTCGGTCTGACAACGGTTGAGCTGGAATATATCAAAAAGGTAGTCACGGAGAGGTGGCAGTACGTGCTGAGCGAAGCACACGGTTTGGCATTTTTGCTGGATCCACGATATATTGGCAAGTCCATGACACGAGATTATCGCGAGCAAATTGAGGAGCTGATCTTTAGCTTCCCCGAGACTGACCAAGACATGGGTGTTGATGAAGAGCGAAGGCGAGCAATGTCAGCAGAGTACACCGATTACGTCATTTATGCCAAGAACCAGCGCAACAACCGCACCTACAAGTGGGAAATGTTAGAAAAGGGCAATCGCTCGCCACTGCAGTTCTGGCAGACGGACGCGGAAGATTGGCCGCACCTCAGATCGCTAGCGCTCACGCTGTTTTCGTTAGCGCCAAGCAGTGTTGCATCTGAGAAAACGCTGTGCAAGAGCACCTTGGCGCAATCCAGTCACCGCAACAAGCTCAGTTTCGACAATGTACGGCGTCTAGCATTTATTTGCATAAACGACCCCCAATTTGCTGGTGGGGAAGTGCAGAATAACACGCTGCCCGATTTTACTGTAGGAGACACAGCACTTTCACCTGATGGAATGATGATGTGGATGATTTGAAGCGAATTGAGCGCTTTTGTGTAATTGCCGGAATGTTCAAGTAGAAAGCAGAGCTGTTCAGCTCAATCAACAGGCACTCCTTTTGTCGAAGTCGTTTTCGGCTGCTTCATGCTTCTGCAGCTCAAGAAGACAATGGTGTATATGTGTTTGGCCGACGACTTCTGCCGGCCAGAAAGGTCGACACGCATCATGATTTAACTTCGTAAGGCCATTTCTGCGAACAATTTGTTGCACCACTGGATAACGAGCAATGGGTGGTTGGATTATTCAGCAGCTTTCCTGTTTACTCGTTAATGAATCTTTAGAAAGATTCCTGTAACATTGTCAACGCACACGACTAGGATCGTAGCCAAGGTGCTAAAGCTTCGACAAATACACAGCCAAGCTAGTACAATCTTCAAAATCTCTTCTGGATTTTTGACATAATACAGGTGAGGTGGACCATGTTTTTTTACCGTTAGTCTCGCTCGCATTCATGATCGTTCTCATACCAAGAAACTGACGTTATGGAAGTCGCGTTATGATTTAACTCGCTAAGACAAACTAGAGCGTATTTTTTATCTAACATTGCTCCTGATGGATTTATATTCTGAGGACTCAATGTGTCCTAGTGACTACCATCCACAGCTTTGTTATCATTGTTGAATCACCAGTTCGTACTGATATGCGTGTGCTAAATTAAATGGCAGCTCACCCTTATGCAGCACTTTGGTCCGAACTTGCGATTTACTTTCTGACCACAATAAATTGGGTCGTAGCCACCATGAAACCATGCTGCGTTTTTCCTGTCATTACTCAGCCATACTCACGATTCTCGTGCTACACCTACCGAAGAAGTCTCAAGACGAATATACGCTGGTGTCATGTATCGATTGGGGCACCTGTACAAAGCTGTAAGCCCAAAAAATGAAGTACAAATCATATCAACAAAAACTGCGACGAACTTGTTACTCTGTGAGCATGGAAGAGAAATTCTACATGTAGATATTGATCGGCTTCACACTTTGTTGAGTGATGGCAAGTGGCGGAGAAAGTAATCGATCTTGTCCTCATTGCAGCACCTGGTGATCAGCGGTTTAGGCGGATACGTAGGCTTGAGGTATGTACGAACACTGTATTGAGGAAAACCAAGCATTGTATAAACTACATATTGTGCCCTTGCCGACTTCAATATTGACATGTATAGCCCCTCTGTGTATTTTATAATGTTTCATCTCTACGCTTCTTAGGAATCAGTTATCGCCTACGCTAATTTTTGTGATGACACCGTTAATGGCCAGTGTGTCACATTACACTATCTCAAGTTGTACGTCTCCATGCATGTGGGAGTAGTACCTGCTGGTCCTACAGGTACGGGTAAAATACTAAGAAATATGTCCTTCGTCTTGCATAAGTCATAGGCTACCGAGTCTTCCCATTTCAGAATGCTTGATGCAAAGTTCTCATATGGAAAGGAAGATATCGAGTATTTGCGTAACGCAGTTGCAGATCGAGCCCAAGCTGCGCGGTATCAATGATGCTAGGCCGAAAGGAGGGAATGACCTTCAATTTCAGTGAATGGAGTCTTGTGGCTACGATCATAGCATTGAAGGTAGGTCAGCAACAGGCCCTTGACGAACATTATTGCTGATGCCTTAGGCCGCCGTTTTGTGTGGAAGAGAAGGCAGCGAGGCTGTCAACAGTTCCTGTTAATCATAAGATTGTGTCTATAGTTCTGAACTCGATAGAGTCCAGGTATCTTTCTGTGAACTTCTTCGAAGCGCATCATATTGCTGTAACCTCCATCATAGCTAGTCACGAGTATGTACAAGTCTTGCTAATATTTTGCGTGAGGATCCAAACAAAAAATGCAGCGGCAGCTTGGCGGTGTAGTACGTCGCAGATCTAATCTTCGATCTTACCATGAGGTATGACGAGATAAATCGTTTTTGTTTCTTACCAACTGTTTGGTTTCATGCCAACACTTTGGCACGCGCTTTCATGTTCAACTTGAATAGAAATGAGCAGCAACCGCGGGTTGGACACGATGTAAAAGTGTGAGAGTATCTTACGATTCCTATCATTTGTTAGCTCAATCAAGACACAGGAAAGTGAGCTACGTAGCAAATTGTTGAAGCAGCCCGAGACAACAAAACCTGTCTTCAGAAGCTTTTTTTCTCGTACTATTAATCTTTACTGCTCTCCTAGTATTATCCGAATTGCTTGGGTCAACCAAAGCCAAAGCGATAGCCAACCATCGTTAAGAAACTGATCGAAATCGCGAAGCTGATGCAGAGGATGTTTTTAGCAGACATTGCAGTCAGCAAAACCGATATTAGCAATGTTCACCTCGTCTGACACAATGCCCTATGGAAAAGCTTGTTGAAAGCTGCTGTTCACTGCTTCGTGCTCCTGCATTATCATCGAGTATCGTGTAGGCTCGTCAAGACAGAAATCAAAAAAGGTCGCGTTGCGGTCGTGATGTTTTTGAGATCCAAATGTGTGTCACATGTTACCGCTTGTTGAATACGCAGTGACCGTGCGTTACTCAGTGTGACGTGACTTTCTAAATTGTCTGGGCCTAAGGGTCTCATCGTTTATTTTTCTTCTTGAGATATTCGTCTCACTGTTGCTGTGGCTGTAATACCTGTCGTGACGTTGCGACAGAAATTAAAATGGTTGCGTCGCGGAGCGCCTCCCTCTGTACTTTACACAGCAGTTTAATGGCTACAACCGCCATCGCCGCTGCCGACACGCACATCAAAAGTTCACAAAGGAGGCATAAAGGCCTCACTATACTGCAAGCAGTGCCACGCAGCCCGACTTCTCGCCGTACGATGCTGTACCATCCTCAAGAAGATTAAACAGTCTGTGGTATTCCAGTTGGAGACTCGGAAGCTTGAGTGAATCCATTAGCGCACTTTGACAGAATGTAGTCACGTTTACTGCTTCACGCGCCGTAAGTCGAACTTATAGTTGACCCGTCATGATCTTAATGCCCGCTAGATACTAAAAAACTCCAACGTACCTCAGTAAGTCTTGCCATGGTTTCACAGCGCGTTCCAATCTCGGAGTTTGCTGTGTATGCAGCTCGCTCGCTCACCCCTGCCTTGCTTTAGCACTTTTTTTCACTAACGATCCGTCAGTACTTCGTTTCGCAAAAGGAAGAGCTCAGACGATGTCATCCTGCGTGTAATCTTATCGCATCCAACGCAATTTTTTACCCTAATGTCGACCAGAGTTTCGCTGCGTAGGCTCATTTCGGCCGATGTCGTCCCGACAACAACGAAGTAGATGAGCTGTATAAACAATTACATAGTTCAGACTGTAAAGCAACAGTTACACTCGGGCCTCTGTGTGCATCTTGGTGCTTGCTTAGCACGCCTAAGATGAAAGTATGAGGCAAGCGTAGACTCTCTCTTACATGTAAGTAAGCGCAAGTTGCACTGGTTTAAAAAAGCGAGCTTGCTCGGGTGTGCCAGGGCTGTCCCATGAAGCCACGGCATCTGAACCTCCGCCACCCAGTCCACGGTAATCGCCTTGTTACTACTCAGTTTACATCAAGCTTTTCGCAACGCAATCGACATGACTCTCGAAGAGGAAAGCGCTCTCGAATTCACTCTGGCCTTTGGACTAAATGCATTTGCTGCATCGTCCACCGTCCTAGGTGGCTTTGTCATCTTCAGCAACAAACTCCTGCAACTTGCTAGTCCGATGTCGATGGCTGTACTGCTCAGTGTATCCGGTGGGATCATACTCTTCCAGGCTCTCGTTGTTCTGTTTGCAATTTCGTTCAAGGAATTCAACGACGCTTTCAGTAATAACGACAGCGGAAGCGGAAGAAACTCGAGTGAAGATGATAAGGGCAACGCATGGCTCGCGGCCACCGGATGCTTTGGAGGGGGCATCATCATCAGTTACCTCGTCGACCTCATTGTGCAGAAGCTCACCCCGGGCCAAAACATGAATGGCACACCGCGGACGCAAAGTGCCCGAATTTCCTTTCAGGAGGGCCCCGTTGACGTCAAGCCACCGGTAGAGCTCGTCCAAAATCAAGGCAGCGACGTGTTTATCAAAATGGACGAAGCGGGTAAGGGAAAGTTGCAGCGTATGGGTATCCATAGTGCAATCGCTGTGGGTATCCATAACATCCCCGCAGGAATCGCTACGTTTGTGGCATCCTCCGAGCACGCATGGATCGGCTTGTCACTAGCAATTGGCATTGCGCTACACAATATTGCTGAGGGCATTGCCGTTGCTGCCCCAATCTACTTTGCGACGGGAAGCATATGCCGCGGTTTGCTGTGGTGCTTGCTGTCAGCAGTCGCACAACATATTGGTGGCCTCATCGCGTTCGCATCGATGGGCACGGATGCAGACAAGCAGACACGAGGACTTATGTACGGCCTGTGTGCTGGCATGCTAGCCGGTATCAGTATAAAGGAGACCCTTCCGACCGCATACATGTTCGCCAATGGTCGGATGCACCTAGTTTCGGCTGGAAGTCTGGGTGGCATGTTTTTCATGTCCGCCGGCCTCATTTTTTTCAGCTACATCGGTGTATGAGCTCGTTGAAGGGAAGAGGACGGAATTGATAGTATACTTAGTAAGCTATGCGTTTTAGGGAGCTCGCGTGAATTGAAATCAAGTGAACCGTTATGCATGTGTTATGTGGCGTGCCTGCCATTATGTCATGATGACGGATACTGTTTATCGCTGATCATTGCATACGTTGGTCTATGAGTGTTCATGTCACTCAAGATATTCTATAAGGACTGTAGTAAAGAACTCATCCTTACAGCTTATTTGTATACTCCAACAGACTGACCAGTCTGATTCTAGTGGATACTTTTGGCGAACCATCTTCGAACCTTTTTTATACTTTTTCAAGTAGTTTGCCCAAGAGATAAAACTTCAGTAGTAAATAAAGTGGAGGTGTTGTTATGTCATTTAAATAACGTTCGTGAGCGATATCCTAAAATTTAAATGATAAGTTGTTGCTCGATGGGTTATTTATTAATTATGACTGAATATAAATATATGACACGTGGTTTTTGCTCTTCGTATTGTAATATTCTGCATTCTTCAGCCAATCCAAACCCTTTAAGCGAATGTATATTACTTTTAGCCTCATTTTAACATCTGCTCATTATTATGCGGTCACCGCTGCTCGATCCACTCACTACCTGGTGCCACAGACGCCCCTCCAGCAGCACAAAACTCGAATCGTCTTCTTTACTGACTATGGCGACTATAGCATTTCTGCTGCTGCTGGCGCTGAATGTCGACGCTGAGGAGCTACGTTTCAAAGGTAGAATTTTTTCTACTTTTTTGTTTAAACAATTATATAAATCAGTTTTTACACCGAAATAGACGAAACGAAGATCGTCGAGACGGCAGTGGCAATGGAAGAAATGTCCGACAACGTCGTAGAACCTCGCAAGAATTCAGAACCTGAAGTTGGTACGTTACTAATTGGCGTTAAAACGCTTTTTTGCAGCTAAAACAATGATAGCGCCGTCCAAAAATGGTTTTTTATTGTATCCGGGCTTGGCTCGCAGCATCATAACGTTCTAAAGTACTTACCTTTATACTTGCAATGGAACTGCAGAGAGCTTATTGGCAGATTTTGACCACGATGGACGTGTTGGACGCCGTGAGATCCAGCAGATTAAGGACAAGCTGCACCACCTTTTAGATACGGATGATAGCGGCGGGTTGGACGTTTCTGAACTCAAAAAGAGAGCTCAGAATGATCAGGATGTGAATGCTGCACTGAAAAAATTAGACAGTGATAATGACGCTGTCATATCTTGGAAAGAACTGGACGAGCGTTGGGAATGTGTAGGGACGGAAATGACTGTCGCTGAAGTGGCAGACTGGGTGGCCTATGCAGTCCAGCTGCCACAGTATAGTGAGGTCTTTCGAGCCAATTCTATCTCGGGGTATACGTTTCCTTTGTTGATGGCGAACGATGGAGCGAGGTTACAGGAAATTGGCATACATAGCAAGCTGCATCGCCATCAATTGGCCATGTTTTTGCAGATAAAGTATCTCGGTATGGGACGTAAGCCTGAAGCGGTAGTATCGAGTGTTTGCACGGCCGCTGGCATGACTGCGCAGGACAAGGTGTTGCTACAGCTGGCGTGGGTGCCGGTGAAAAACTCGCCACAACGCTATCAGCTCCAGCGTCGAAATCCTGGAGAAATGACGTGGGTCCTCGTGTTTACAGGGGCCGATACGGAATTTATGGACATTGTGAAACCTAGCCAGCATGTGGTCTACCGCCTGACGACGTGGAACTCATATGGTCGCAGCTCACACACATTTGTACGGTGTGATGAGGCTGTTGCCAATGCTGCTACATTAACAGCTTCGCCAAATGCAGACTCGTCGTCCTCTTTGCCGTCGAGCTCGGGAAATTCGCGATCCCCATACTTGCCGTCTTCTCAGAGTAGACGCAAACGGGCCTCGGAGAAAGGGATAAGTCACACCGAAGAAGGAGATCATACTGATTTTGACAATGACTTTGACCATAAACGCAGCCTGTGGGGTTTGCTAAAGATTTACTTTTGGTGGTTGGATGATGCTATCGTTATCCTCTTAGTAGTAATCCTACCGATTCGTGGAATTATTTACGGCGATGCTGACTCACTGCTTCGACTGTTTCGGCGATTGCCCCCTAACATGCCTACACGCGTAACAGTCGAGGTTGAGCCTAGTAAAACAACAGTGGAGAATGCAGTTGCCCGCGTTTCATGGGAAAAACCAGTGGACAACGGCGTTCCTATCGTATGCTACACAGTTCGTTGGACGCGCACTAAGACTGAAGAAGTAAAGTGGATCAAACTTCTAGCAGTACCACTGCCCACCGCGGTGATTGTGGAGAAGCTTTACCACGGGGAGACGTACAAGTTTGTCGTACAAGCGACAAACCAGTTTGGGCTAGTAATGAGCTCTAGTCGTTCGACATACATGGTGCCAATTCCGGAACTGAAGGGTAAGCTTCGGCCTCGGCGTCTTCCAGCCGAGTCCCGTGCCGTGCGCAACCAGTGTCATGTATGCCATGATCCTCGTTACAAGAAGAAAGTGCCGTTTACTGCCACACTGGACCGTCGTATCTTGCACTACTGCTGTTTGTGCGACAAAGAGTTTTGTCACTATCATAAAGGACAAGTACACCATTCGAAGGCAGTCTCATGTCCGATTGTCGACGGCCGTTGCGTATGCATCAGCTGTAAAGAAAGCCGTTTGCAGCGCACTGTCACTTACTGAAAAAAGGGAGCGACATTGCAAAGCTCTCGTAGCCCGCACAGAGACCTCTTCATCATTTCCGTCATGCGTCGCTGTATCATCCTCGTAGTGTGTCACTATTTAGCTCGAAGAAATAGGACCGACGTTTGAGTGGTTGCTGACAGGATCAGAGTTTCCACACTCGGCGTCACCAGCTCAGCCGAGTCAGCTCACTGAACGCACTGTGCATAACGCAAGGTACGTCCTACTTTCGCTTGACTTGATGGATATCTGGGCTTCGGCTTCTTTGCAGAGCTTGACCTCCCTACATTTTACTTCCGAGTGCTGACAATTGTTGACTGTCGTGAACAGCACAATCGTTTTTTTCTCAAGGAGAGCATAGAAAGTTGCTAGAACGCCAGCAGTTTCGATTCCTGTACAAAACTTCACATCGGCAACGATAATTTTGTCCGTCCAGAACAGCTAAGCGACCAGCTTAGGTTTTAGGCGTCGACCACAACGATATAGTCATTTTCCACGCATAGCAATCCGCTTCACTTGCTGCACGAGCGTCGTCCACATTCGATCTACGAGTCGTAAAGCAAAAGCAGCACTCCAGACCGAGAACAGGTTCATGAAAGATAATGTGACAGGTACTGATCGTACGGACCCTCATTTGGAATATCGCTCATAGGAGGAAATACACTTTGCCAAATCAATTAATGTGAAGTAGCAATAACACTTTTACTTAACTCATACTTACCGTGTGCTGTGTGATTCAAGTTGGCACTTGGTCCGATTCATCTTTGACCTTCGCTTACAGCTACTTTTACGCTTATTCACGCAAGCTCTTCCTTCACTGTCCTCCTGCAATAGAGAGTTGGTCTCGTTCGAAGTAGCACGACCTTTTCTACCTTTTTACACTGATAGTACTATCGCTTTTTTATTGTGTTTATCCCAGGCCGCGCCCAAGTATTTTGAGGGATATTCAATCTGTAAAAACCCTTGCATCATTTACTTTTTGTTGTAGTAAAGAGACCATTTGCAGCCTTTTTTTCAGACAATTAGCAACGGCTACGATAAGGTCCTTCTTACATTCCCAGACTTGTTACAGCATGCTGAGGTCCGATATTTTAGGTGAATTCTGTCACACACACCCTCTTATTGACTGGTGAGCCGCCATTCGCTTGGTTGGCTATTAATTAATCAATTCATATCTGTCCAAAGCATGTATGGAGATCATACATCTGGCCTGGAGATATATACGCTGTTACCAATTCATAAAGCTTTCTATACAAATTAGACGACTTATTGTAGTGTCCGGTTGAAAGTGGCTATATGTACCCATTTTATATATGTGGGTTCTATATATCGCTTTAAAATAAGGGGAATAAAACAAACAGCTTAAATGGCAGCACTTCTAACAGACGACGTGGGGTTAGCGGCTTTATGTCGCATAGTGCATGCTGAATTCTTGTTACCTTCTTCTACTACTGACAATGTGACACTCGAACAACTGCCTGAAGAATTGGAAGAAGGCAACGTCGAGTACAAGCAGCAGCTACTGGAGCCAACGTACGATCGTTTGCGTCAATTGACGACACAGATGAATTGGCGTCTAAATGAAGGTGGTGGTATCGCCTTTTACGAGATTGGAGTAAAAGATAATGGAGAAGTTCTTGGTCTCTCAGAGAACGCTGTATTACAATCTCTGGGAGCTTTAGCACGGTAAAGTAGTGACCTTTTGAAGTGTAATGTACCCATAATTCTAATCCATTTTTGTGCAGAATGTGCCGTGTAGTACATGCTGAAATGTCATTATCAAAGTTTCGAGTCGGTCAAGATGCAAGTCGCAAAGCAGTGAGGATTCAGATTAAAAGAGTGCTGGAACATAACACGACCAAGCGACTTCGTGGTAGGTTGTTCAAGGGTAATCGTACTTTTTGGTTGTCTTATATGCTGAAATGCTTTTGTGTACCTTTAGTGTCCGTAATTGGGGACTTTGAGAGTGGCAAATCGACTTTGGTGGGGGTACTGACTCGTGGGTGCTTGGATGACGGTGCTGGATTGGCTAGAATGCAAGTTTGTCGACATCGTCACGAGCTGGAGAACGGATGTACGTCCAGTGTAAGTGAGCACACGATCTCAGTGGCTCCAGATGGACATTTTCGATGCATGGACGGGTTAGACACGTGCAATTTTGGTGATAGTGAAGACGAGGAAGAGATGCACAAGCCAAGAAGACAAGAAACTTTCATCACGCTGAGTGATTTAGCTGGACACAAAAAATATCTCAAAAGTACGGCGTCGGGACTGGCTGGTCAGTTTCCGGACTACGCGATGCTTGTGATTGATGCTGTTCGAGGTGTTCGAGACATGACGCGCGAGCACGTTAAGATTGCTACTGCCTTGGAAGTCGTCATTTTTGTGGTGATAACAAAGATAGATCGAGCGACTGACGAGCGAATACAACAATTGCTGGTTGAAGTCACACAATTGCTGAAGGCTTTTTGTCCATGTCAGCAAGTTGTTTTGGCACCGAAAAGTATGACTACGTCAATGAGCCACAAGGCAAAGTTGCAAAAGCTTACGTCAGCGTCGATTGTGCCGATATTCCAAGTATCAAATGTAGACGGCAATGGTCTGGACGTGGTGCAAGGATATCTAGCTATGCTCGAGCCTAAACATGTGTGGGCGGCCAAGGCAAAGAAACCTGCTGAGTTTCAAGTTAGTCACGCCTATGATACTGAAGATTCAGGCATGATTCTGATTGGCTTAGTGCAAGCTGGAACGTTTGGCGTAGGAGAACGAATGTTGCTCGGACCCGGTGCTGATGGACAGTTTTGCGACGTAGCACTTGAAAGTATTGAAGTGCAGCGCAAGGCTGCACAAAGTCTTAGCGCAGGAGAGACAGGCGCTGTGCTCATACGCTTCCTATGTGCTGCTCGGCCGGCTCACCGCATCAGGAAAGGTACTATACTTGTGCACCCGAGCGTGAAACCTATGGCTACACGCCAATTCGATGCAGAACTACTTTTCCTGCCGGATGCACGCATATTTCGCGAGAATTTTCAAGCGGTTATCCACACTGGCCACGTTAGGCAAATGGCGAAGATTGTGCGAATAGGAGACCCCAATAAGTCAGCACCGGACTTTTCAACCACGCTGCCATCGACACTTTCACCTGCAACGACAATGTGTCGCTTCGAATTTATGTACCGGCCTGAATACATTCGTCCGGACTTGCCTCTAGTGCTACGCGAAGGACGTGCGCAGGCTGTAGGTCGTGTTGTACGGGCTGTACCATACTACGGCGTCAATGCCCTGCATGTAAACTAATGATAGCACATATCAGGCGAGCAGCATGCGACTGCAGGAAAAAGCTTGCGAGCTGGGCACCCGACAGGCCACTCGAGAACATGAACATAATAATGCTAAGACATCGCGACGAATACTACGAACTGCATTCAGCATGCATACAAGTAATGGAGTATTGCTGGTAGTGAAAACTTTTTGTGGGCAGAAGGCAGTTCTGTACGTTATATCGCAAAGAAACACACAGCCAAGGATCGGAAGCCATTACTCATGATAAGCAGCAGACTGTAAAGTCACATGCTCACTTGATCACTTGCTGTTATGTTCTAATTCGATAAATTTGTGGTAGATGAACAAGTCATTTAGAATCTCTTGCTGGTGTCGCTAAAATCAAGGTTTTGTCATTCTCGTACTTGTTCTTGTGCCAGTTTTTACTGTTGGTCCTTCAACTGCATACGGTGCAAGACACTTATGACCATGAACTGAATCTCATATGCCAGAACCCCTGGAATCTTTAGGCTTTCGCAATGAGGCTATTCGTTCATCGTAGTATAAAAGAGGAAGACCACTTCTTCGTTCTCAGATTCTTTTTATCTTTTTTTTGACTGAGTTTTAAGATGTTAAAGTTCGGTCAAAATATGCATTTTTTGTCTCGGACAAGGAAAATTTGGCCGCATCTATACATTGATTAAAATCGATTAAAATCGATTAGAAATGATTAAAATTGATTAAAATTGATTAATATTGCCATTACTTGGAACGGAATGCCCACCAATGCGATCAACAATATGGGGAGATGGCATCCCACGGAGATGGTGTCTCCGAAAGTTATCTTGTCAAAAAAACTACGTGGGCGTCCCCAAGTCATCAGGCTGGTCTTGGAGAAGCGAGATCTGTTGCGCTGGCCTCATTCTTAGTTGTAGTGAAAAATGCGAATCAGGCAGCAGTGAATGCTGTGCTCGGACAATCATGGCCAACCAGCTTGACTTATGCTTGAGGAAGGGATTGTTGCTGTTGGCCATGAAGTTATCTTTCACCGAAACTATGCTGCTAACTCAACTTCATCGAGAGCTTCTGGGGTGCGGCAACGCGGTATGCGCGCAAGAACTGCGTTTTTTGTGGGCAGTCTTGGAGCAATCAGTCCCGCTTACATAATCTATTGTCAGCGTTGGGGGAATCTGTCGGTATGCACAGGAAGCTCAACGATGTATGGATGTTAATCGAAAAGGTCTGTGTGACAAACAGGCCGAGTACGTAGTGCGCAGATATCGGTCCCATCGTCGGGTGCCTAGTTCGGTCTTGAAGGACATTAATGCCCTCTTCTGGTAAAAGCTCTGGTGCTGGCGTTTTGTATGTTTAACACGATCCCAAGGTTTGTCCGATTGAACATAGGGCATCTAGGAAGTAGGTGCAATGGATAGCTATACTATCGCGGGCCTGCTTCCGGAAAACTGCGCCTCTAAGTATGGATTGCGCGCTCACAAATTTGCTTCAGAAGACCATCAGACTGCCACCAGCCTTCCTTTTAAACTCCAAGCCGCATGATCACACATGCGTCGACTGGTATGTCTGGATGGCGTGCGGGTTTCTTTTCGCCGAGTGCCAGGCACCTTGTCAAATTGCACAAGAAGTTGCTGACATGACTATACGTACTTGGCCCTTCTTGCAAACTGGTGGCTCCTCCTTCGGCATTCACAGGCGCTTTAAGCCACCATGCGCAGCAAAAGTGCTCGTATCATGGGTCACTAGAAGTAGTGGTCTAATGCCTTTAACGAGCCGAGTGACAGGGACACTTCGCTTATCGTCGTTGTCGTCAAGACCACCAATGGCTGGCCAGTATCTTCATACACAGCCATCGCTCTACAAATTCCTTTCGGTATTTAACAACATCCTCGCGCTCGTAGCCCTCGACATAGACTCCTTCTGTAACCTTTCGGTATTTCATGTCGAAAGAATGCAGCCATCGAATAACAATTTTCCCAGTAATGGTCCGCAACAGGGCACCCAAATTGAGAAAGTATGTCTTCGTTGATATGAGCAGTCAAGGCCAAAATCTCCACTTGATATTTGTTCTCCCGCAGATATTGCTGAAGCGGCATAATGCAGTCCTCGTCCTGCAAGTAGCTGGACCGAATCGCATGCCTTCCTTGTCAAGACGCCAGGAGTTTACTATCCGGCAAGAACGTCGAGGCCTAGGCGTGAACTCAGCGGGCAAGCCAGACGCCTTTCTTAGCACTTCCATCGAAAAGTTTTTGTGCTGTAATGCGCGGTCTGCCCGCCCTCACAAGCCGCAGATAAAGAAGGATGGCGCCAAGTCGATCGCGTGCAGCTTGGTCTAGCTCACCAACTTTCGTTCTTCGGTCTTTTAGCTTTGTTATCGCCACATCAAGCTTCGCTTCGTCCAGTCCTGGCTCTCTTCGTTGCTATTGACTGCTTCGGTCGCGTCCATAGTCACGATATTGGCGTGTTCACCATTTATTTGGCTCACTTGGACTAGCTTTCATCCACCTGGTTGTAATATGCTGTCAGAAGCGAACACCCAGCAGCTGCAATTCCTCACGCCGCGTTCTACAGTCGCAAGTTGACGTCCCCTGATAATGCGACGGTTACGTTGTGCCACAGCAAGAGCAGCCTGGCAATCCTTTTGAAAGCTTTACAACGGTCTTCACTTCCCCATCAGATTCCGTGTCGAACTCGCTTTTAAATTTGTGACGACTCGCTACTGCTGAGGCTACCGTCAAGACTTCGGGCATCTGATAGTTAGACGTCGCTATCTCCGTAATAGATGGCGGCGTTCACACCAGCGTTGTTGCTTTCGTTGTTAGTATTGGACACGCCTGTGATTCCCCGAACCGATTTCTTCGTATTTCTCCGCTTGCTTTCAACGGAGCGTTTGGAGAAGGCCTTCTTTAACTTTATTTTCTTGATGAAGCATGGCATTTTGTTGATGCTAAGGACGTTCTTGACTCGCTTCGTGTTGGTAGAGCGTGGAGGGTAATAACTTGCTGTTGCAAGCGCGCGACAGTCACGTGATGCGATGCAAAATTCATCGTCTTGCAGTGAAACTTACTAACAATACCTAAGACGTATCCGACTCAAATGTCTGCGGGTCTACATTTCGTGTGAGTAAAGTATAGTATGTACTTCTTCTGTGGGAATCTTGTTCGGCTGTAGCATAAACACTTCCTTTGTTTGTCAACTTTGCAGCTCGCTATAGGGAATGCTCTTGATTGACAAAATACATGTGCTAGAGAAAGCATGTACTTGAGCTCGCTTCTGCTGTACCATATGCACAGTACATAATCTACGAGATTGACGCTATGCACTTGGTAAGTATTCAGAGTAAAGCAAACTGTGCAGTACAATATGCGTTTTGCCTTTCTCTAGCTCCATAAACGTGCTTATAGCAAACAGGAAACACTTACTAGAGGCATGAACTTACCATGTATTAACTTACTGCACTGACACGAAAGCCGGAATTATAACAAAATATATACAGTATACATAATCGTTTTGCACGATTTTATGTGTCAACAGACCACCTTAGTCTTCTTTAAATGCTACTCGTCATATCAAACAAGGAACGTTGTCGTACTATCACTACATGATAATCTTCTAGTAATCTCATACTTAGTCGAGTTTTTGCGCGTGATGCGCATTTTGGTTTTATCAAAGACCACGGCTGCGTAACAAACAGATCGCAACGTTTAAGTCCTCCATCTTGGCGCCAATACTGTTGAATTTGACACTGATGCTGAGAATTTCATTGCATTGATGCAATATGTTCGCGCCTTCCATCTTCTCCATGCGAAAGAGCTGACGCTTCAGGTAGATGCGTCTAGCCTTAGCACCCACTGAAGAGTGTCTTTAGGCATGAGTAGATGCATCCATGAGGAGCATCATCAGTCCAAACTCGATATTGCTTGCCTTGAGGTAGTCGTCCATGGCGCGAGGGTCCGCGAAGGATGGCGTCGACTAACGATTAAATTCATGTCACATTCGACCTAGTAAGGAACACACCACTCATGTAGCGGCTCCAGTTCGGGTACTTATCTCCATTTCAATTGTCAAATGTTGACTTTGGTTCAAGCATCTCGGGAAGAGCTCATAACCTGCTAATTTACTTTGGCAGAAGAAAGTATATTGTTATATAGGTCTTTACACTATCTACTTGCAATCACATGGTGCGTGCCTACAACTATGCATCCAATCATTAGGAATGCTTGCCGTAATAACGCGGGGTGGAATCGGACAGACTTACTGTTACCCGGCACAAGTATCCTTCAACAGTTCGGACTGGCTGCCACCAAGAATCCAGCAGAAATGCCCGTGGCGTGACACAATAGCCATGACCGGTAAGGGATGTGTAGTCCTTCCTAAAAGGACAGTATCGGGTCGTTAGAAGAACTAAATGTACCGGCTAGACCTACAAAACCAATTGAGGTTCTTCCATAGCTTACAAGAGCGACTATGATGCGGTTGCTGCTGGTTAGCTCCCACTAAACACTTACTTGGGGAAGTCAACGTCTGCTTTATAAGACTTGGACAATTGAATGCAAACCGAGTCGACTGCTCAAGTTTTCGTTTCCATCGAAAACGCATTTACGTAAGAGAAAGTGAATGACATTGTTAGCACGTAGCTGACTACGTGGGGTTGTATACAAATGGAAGGTGACGCTTGCTAAAATGCCAGGTGCTAGTTGTAGTTATGTCAGCATCATAGTTTTGCCATGTTGCAATCGTGCAGGCTTAGTGGCAAATAGTCAAAGGTATTAGCTGCTACATGCTACAAACCTGCTTTGCATTATTCCTGGCGCTAAGGTATAATCTACAGCTCAAAACTTATATGTGCCTCCAGCTATAGATTTTATCTCTCTTGAAGTCGTCATTTTGGTGCTAAGGATACGTACGGGAAATACAGTGGAGCTACGGCTGGATAGATGGGGGCTGTCCTTAAATTGCAGTCCATAAGTATTAGTAACAAGGCTCATATTGATAAGTCAGGTATCGGTTTTCCTTATCCA